TCTCGGCAGTTTAATGTGCTGCTAATAGCGTGCACTGGTCAGAGTGTCCAGTGACTTTTTAACACACTGATTCGGATGGTCCTGATGTGCTTCTTGAGTGAGAAAACCCCGCTGAATTTTTCCTTCAGAAAAACCATAGCATCTTAAGATTTGTTAGCACCTTTGCTTTTGATTTGAACAGGTTTTATTTTATTCCTTAGACTCGTTATTTTCAGGCTACTTAAAACAAGAATGGTCTCTGTAGGAAAATATATTCCTAAAGCATACCAGGGCCCTAAGGCTTCATCTTCCGTTAGAGATAAAACATAGTTTTAACTTAGATGGCAGGTTCTTCTGCCTGCTCCTCTTCCCCGTTTCAAACTATGCATTTGATAGCTGGGAAGTTGCCAGGCTATGGGTGAATAAATGAGCATCTAACAGCTGTCAAGAACTAAAAGAAGACATGAAATAGAATTTCAGGGACATATGCAAGAAGCTAGCAAGTTTCGGGTTTCATTGGGAAAGGGATCTAGATAAATGCCTGGGGCAATAAAAAGAATACGTTGAGAATCCTTAACCTCACACTGAAGACCACATGTGGACCGATGTTCAAAACCAGACTCACCTCTCAGCCAACAAGCACTAGCTACAGCCAAAATTCTCAGAATAATCTACCCTAGTGACTCTGCAAGGTGCTTTCATTTGTGTTTTGATATTGCAGGAAATATCTTGAAATTGTTGATCTGAGAATAAGATAAACTTTTCCATATCAAAATTAAGAGGTAATAAGATTTAGGTGGATGATTTGTAAAACTCTTAAATCTGTCAACTATTAGGTTTGAATGGGATACTAGGTAGACAAGTGTAAGCGTTCTCTAATAGTAACAATAGTGACTAATAGAGTGAATACTTGTGAGCTATTGTTTATAGACAACTTACATTGGTATAGATTCTTGTATATTGATACAAATTCAAATTATATTTTTTATATTAAATATGCTCCTATTTATGTTTAAAATATTTATACTTAAACAATGTGTAAGTATCTTGATCAGAAGTAGTAATGTTTACATTTTGAGGTCATTGTCCTCATTTGCTATGCAGTTGCTTAAAGATTGCCTAATATTCTGATATAAAGTCTTAGTCTGTAAGTTATGCAGGTAGTAAGTATTATAGGTCAATAGTCACCCATGTTTGTCATAATTATTGTTAGACTAATCAGATTCTTTAGATACATAAAAATTGTATTCTACATAGATAGACAATCTTCAACCACTCCAAAAAACAGTAAAATATGGCATTTAAATAACTTAGGGTTTTGTTGACATAAGACACAATTGCTCCTGACAGCACCAGTCTATTTCTGAGAAAATGTTGAGCACCAAAGACACTTAGAGCTTGTTTTTCTCATGGCACAACTGGCATTTTAACAATGAACTGCCCGTGCCTCGACCACTGACAAAATGACAGGAAAAAAGACTTCCAAACCTTGCCAATACAAGGTAAGATGATTTTAAAACTTTTCCTGCCTCTGAAAATGATCTGTCAGTTACTCTAAGCCTTAGCCAAAGTTGGTTGTTCCAATGTTGCAAATGAGACTTTGGGTGATTGCCCAGGTAGCCAGTTGTCTCTGTCATCTACTGCACACTTTGGAAGCTGCTTGATTGCACTTCCTGCCTACTCAAGTAATATTATCTCCCTGTTCAGGCCTTTGATAGGGTTAAAGACTAGATAGTCATAGTTACTTTCCTCTTATGGCTCAGTCAAACCATTTCTAACATAAGACTTAGACTCCTTAGGATAAAATAATTATTAAAACATTTAGCATATGTTTCTTACTTAATATTGTTTATGCTGATTATAATTCTAATTTTTATAATTGATATTTGTTCTTATTGTATATAGTTTTGTACTGGGTTTGAAACTCTCTTATTTAGACAAAAGGGGGAGGTGATGGGGAACCTCCTTCAGACAATGGCCTTTGAGGGGCTGGACCAGGTTGGGAGGAGTGGCCTTGGGTACCAAAAAGCCCACGGGTCTGCCTGCTTGTTTTCTCTCTCTCTCTCTCTCTCTCTCTCTCTCTCTCTCTCGCTCTCGCTCTCGCTCTCTCTCTCTCTCCACTCACCACATCTAGATGTTGAATTCCGTTTCTGTTCCTCGTTGTGATCCATGAGTTCCCCTTTAATAAAGAACGCCTTGTTATACCCTATTTGGAGCTAGTGTGGGATTAATTGACTTGTGTTCCCCTTCCTGTGGTGTGTTCCTCTTCATTTGTTGTTGCTGTTTCTTTTTCTAGAATGATCTCAACACAATGACTTCCCATGTGCACTGCGTTGTCTCTGAATCTTTTTTTCAGAATAAAGAGACTCGGGGTTTCTTGGTTTCCCTCCAGCCTTTTCTTTCTCACGAGTTTCCCCAGGCTCACTAGGAGATTGCAGGAGGTGGTAAGAAGCAGAGCTATGGCAACCACTGGCTTGTTCTTTCTTCATTCAGATACACAACGAGAGTCTAACTCTGAATGCAATGTCTAAAATGCAATCATCAGTAAGCAAAGAACGTGTGAACGGTGAATTTTGGAAAGCCAAAGATCATACTTAAATATTGGTCAGTCCATTTGGTATAACTGCCCATTCTCAGAGACTGCAGGGTTGTGAAAGCTGTTTGTCAGCGTGTGAGTAAGGAGCCAAAAGCAATCCAAAGCTGAAAGCACAACTGGAGCCAATGATAAACTTTGGTCTAACTGTGGTCAAGAGCTACAGTGGGTTAAGGAGGACAGTGGGGAGGGGACTGGCTGAAACAAAGCATAGTAATGCACCATGAGAATGCCACAGTGAAGCCATCGCTTCATATGCTAACGTAAGAACATAACAAGGAAGAGAGTATGCCATCACAGAATGGGCATAAGGGCCTGGTTTTCCTATTGAAAAAAAAATTTAGGAAGAAACTAAGTATGGGAACCCTGTCCCTTCTGCTCCTGTGGATTCCTTGTAGCCTGGGCTACTATGATAATTCCATGTTAACCTTCCAAAAGCTTGGCTTCTGTTAGACAAGCTACACAAGTCCAGTTAGTGGATACAGTTAGTCCATTCCATCACGAACATAGGCTTCACAGTCCTGCTTCTCTCAAACCAGGGGTAAGCTATTCGCATTCAGCTCAACACCAATGTCAAGTGTCTGTAGAAGACTCATGTTGGGACCACTGAAGAGACGCCTCAGTTGTTAAGAGCACCTCTGCTTTCCAGGGAAACTGAGCTCGATTTCCAGAACTCTTGTCAGGGAGCTCACAAATGACTTCAATTTCAGCTCTGGGCTCCAGTCTCCTAAGGGGCCTGCATATACAGAGAGAGAGAGAGAGAGAGAGAGAGAGAGAGAGAGAGAGAGAGAGAGA